TCCGGGTTTATATATTGTTGGATCACCAATTTTGCCTCTTCATATATTATTTGCAATTTGGCGAGGGTTTAGAGTTTAGGGCTATATAGGGTGTAAGGGGAAATTCGTGGTTAAAGGATTGAGTTTCAGGACAGGGTTTGCAGTCAGGGCTTCGGATGAGTTTGTCTGCAGTATCTGCATGTGTCTTATATAAGTCATCGGCAGATTCCCATCATTTGTATGAAATCCTGCTCAGAACCCCCATGCAAGAATCAAATCCTGAAGGACCCTGCTAACAGACTAAACACATACGGCATCACGCTAATTTAAGGTTTTACTACAGGCTCAAGTATAAGGTTCACCATGCAAGCCAAAGCCCACGAAGACCTTGCAGGCACAAACGAGATTAATGGCTTCAGCCCCTAAACTGTTATAAGCCCCAGATGCTCAACACAAATCGAAAAAGTCAGTATTCACAGGAAGCGCTAGCAATGAATCCCATACCGTCATGACCCCCCCCCAAGATGATAGAACTTTCATCCTACATATAGTATACCCAAAGCGTGATCCATGCTGAATTGAGAAGCTCGAACCCCTGACCCCACCCTTCAGGCGCCCCACAGATGACACTTCGAGCTTGTGAATGATCCTGCCAAATTGCCCAAGAAGGGATTGAAGGTTCGGGGTTCTGGGTTTGATGGAAGTGTTGCGTTTGGGGCTGCATTGTTAATGGAGACGTCGCCAAAATGTAGAGTAAACTAATTGCCGTATAGTCTGCTCGTGAGAAATTACGAGAACTGGAGGATGCTATAGTTGTCATGGGGCTGTCCGTAGCATGTGGTATCAGTTTCCAGCTAGAGTCTTATCGCAATCGCAAACCCAGAATTTGATTCCCTGCTAATCCCTCCAATGCTACCCCATGCCCTGGTTACTCTATGCCCTGCAGAATCAAAGCCATAACTAAGACAGACAGCGCGGCCAGGGTCGTGAGACTGGCGCAAGTTGCGTACAATAGATTACGAATCCATGGAACCTTGGCAAGTTTATTTGTACACGTCAGGGGCAGGTT